AGTACCAGTCAGCTGAAAAGCATGGGAGGCAGAACTTACGGAAGTAAGTTTTAAGGAGGGGGTATTTTGATCTTAAACCCGCAGACCAACGGGAAGAGACAAGCAGGAGTTAATTCTCAGTGGTAAGGTTGCTCTCTGCACTGACCTGCAGCCATATTCTAGGCTAAGTACTCATTCTCCCTGGCGGTGGGAAGGGAGGCAGGCTTCTCCGGGTTAGAAAGGAGAGGCAGGGATATCAGAAGTGGGAACTGGAAGGAGGTGCTGGAGTGTTGGACTGAAACCGGAAGTATCAGAATATATGCATTCCACTCCCCCTTCACTCACTCTCTCTCTCACACACATATATTCATTTTTTTTCAGACACAGACTCTTCTCATAGCCCCCAAAGGCCTCAAACTCCCAGCCCCCCTGCCTTAGTGTTCTAAGTACTGGAATTATAGCTGTATAGCTCTTTCCCATGACACCCTGCTTGAATTTGTGATTTTCAACATATGAAGGCATGTGCATGTGTGTGTATGTGTGCATGTGTGCGTGTGTGTATGTGTGCATGTGTGTGCATGTGTGTGTATGTGTGCATGTGTGTATGTGTGCATGTGTGTGTATGTGTGCATGTGTGTGTATGTGTGCATGTGTGTGTATGTTTCACCTCTGCTGAGAAACCCGGAAGCAATGATGGTCGAGTAGCAATGAACCAGCCTTGAGCCCAACTCAGTGTCGATAAATGAGGCCCTTTTCCACTGAGAATAGCCAGGGCTGGAACAGGGAAAATGTAACATGCCCCTGAAACAGTAAGAAAATCTAAGAATCATAGAGACGGAGGAGGGAACCAGTTTAGGGAGTTATTGGCTCCTGGATGCTGCAGGGGAAGAGGGAGTCATTGTCCTCACTGTGTACCCTCGGGTGGGTCTACCAGTTTGAATCAATAGTTCCTTCGCCCAAGGTCACATGAGCCACTGTGATTAAACTCAGTGGATCACAAAACAAAACAAAAAGGCATGAGGGGCTGGAGGGAGAGATGGCTCATTTGTTGCTCTTGGAGAGGATCCAAGTTTCCTTCTTAACACTCACCTAGTGACCTACAGCCATCCTAACTGCAGCTCCAAGGGATCCAATGCCCTCTTCTGGTCTCTGTGGGTACCAGGCACACATGGAACACATGTACACATTCAGGCAAAACACTCATATACATAAAACTTATAAAATATACAAAAAACAGGACATGAACGTGAACAATGGACTTGTGCAGAAGAGGAGGGATTGAAAAGGGGGAGACGAGGGAGGAGGGGGAAGTAAGCAGAATGTATCCATGCACTGTATAGATGAAATTGTCTATAAATTTAATTTTAAAAAAAGCCAGTATGTCTAACTCCCTCTGGGTAAATCTGAGAATTTTTTCACTAATAGTAATAATGGGCGATTAAGGCACTAACTGAAGCGGGATTCCAAACATCTGGGGTTCTGTAAGTAAAGGAACCAATAGAATCAACTGGAGGGACGCTCTTTCCGCTGTAGAACACAGCAGAGAAATGGAGAAGAAATGGCGGAGTACGGAGGTGCAGGATGAAGGTTTGGAGGACTGGACGTCCTCCTGTTTTGATACATTTGATAGATTTATCAACCACAGGGTAGAAATAACACCCACAGTGGAGAGTTTGGGGGGGGCATCGTCTCAACCATGTGACCGAGATTAACAAAAGAAGCCAATGCTTAAACCATGTTACTTGACACCTGCACTGAGAAAGGCATAAAGCCACTTTTGAATGTGACTGTCAGGAACAAACAGCTTCCATCTCAGTGTGACAGCAGACAATACCAAACTGCGAACTCTAAAACAGCGGCCTTTACTTTTAAAAAAGGCCAAGACTACTAAAGACAAATGCAGAGTAACCAGGTAAAAAAAAAAAAAAAAAGCCAGATAAGCCAGGTGGTGGTAGCATTCGCCTTTAATCCAAGCACTTGGGAGGCAGAGGTAGGTGGATCTCCGAGTTAAGGCCAGCCTGCCTGGCCTATGAAGTGAATTCCAGGACAGCCAGGGCTACACAGAGAAAGCCTGTATCAAAAAAAGAAAGGACGAAAGGAAGGAAAGAAAGCCAGCCAGAGAGGTTAACCAAATACAACCAATGTCTGATCCTCATTTGAGTTTAGGAAAGCTTGTTTCTGGTGAAGGGCATTATCTGACAAGTAGAAACTATAAACAGCCGGTGTGTTAGATAACACTTCTCAACTAACTGTGCTCACTTCTAACGTGTCCTTAGGACACACACTGAGGTCTGTAGGGGCCAATGGGCAACGGCTCTGCAACTCACTATCACATAACTCAAGGAAAATAAAATACAAGTGTATGGGAAAGGGTTGTGTGGGGCTGGAGAAACAGCTTGGTAGTTAAGAGAACTTGCTGCTTTTCTAGAGGATCATGTTCAGTTCCCAGCACCCGCACTGGGAGGTTCACAGCTGTTTATAATCCCAGCTCTACTGGATCTGATGCCCTCTGTTGGCTGCCTCAGGCGCCTGTGCTGCCCACGCCTGCACAAAATCTAATTGGTCTTAATGATAAAAATCCCAGAGTCTGATATCGGGGCGAATGCTGAAAGATCGGAGAAGCAGAGCAGAAGACCACTAGAGAGTTTTCTTTAGAGGCAGGAAGGGGAGAAAAGCAGTCATGCGTATGCATGTATATGGATATAAATTCATATATGAATATGTGAAAAATAGTGAATTGAACTGTAGAGTCTGGGTGGTAAAGAGTATATTGGATTTCTTTGTTTTTCAAGACAGGGTTTCTCTGTAGCTTTAGAGCCTGTCTGGAATTAGATTTGGAAAACCAGGCTGGCCTCAAACTCACAGAGATCCACTTGCCTCTGCCTCCCTAGTGTTGGGATTAAAGGTGTGTGCCACCACTGCCTGGCCGATTTCTTTGTATTATTCTTAAATTTCCCTGTAAGGCTGAAATTATATTAACGTTAAAAATTATGAGCCGGAGGTCAGGCATGGTGGTGTACATCTTTAATCCCAGAACTCAGGAGGCAGAGGCAGGTGGAAGATCTGAGTTCCAGGTCAGCCAGGACTGTACAGTGAGATCCTGTCTCCAAAAATTTTAAAAATATTACGGACTAACATAATAGTCTATACGTTGGCATGAGCCTGGCCTGAAGTGGCTTCGTCTTCTTATTAAGGTGGCACACCTACTCACTACAGAATAAGCAATGGCTGTGTAGCTGTACGGTACTGAATATACCTGTCTCACATACAAGACACGGTCGAGTCAAGCCTGCGTTCTTTGTAATCTCTTTCCATTTACTGAATGGCCCCTCTGAGATGGGGCGATGACTTGATGGACAAAAGGACTTGGTGCACAAGCCTGACCTAATTCCACCCCCAGAACCCACACTAACGCAGTGGCGTGCAGCCCTAATCCCAGCACTCCTGCAGAGAGGTGGGAGATGGGGACCGAGAATCAGACCAAAGCTTGCAGACAACGTAGCCTGGAGTAGAAGCTACAGGAGAAACTGTCCCAGAAACAAGGTGGAAGGAGAGAAAAGACTCCTGAAGCCATCCCACTCCAACCACATGCCTGAAGGACCCCTTCTCCATATCTCTGTGTGTGCGTGTGTGTGTTTTCAGAAAAAAAGGGAGGGAGGAAGAGAAGAAAGATAAAGGCTTTTGTCTTTTTTAAAGCATTTATTTGTTTGAGAGCGTCTCCATGCTCACTTAAACAATGAGACAAAATAAAATTTTCTTCCCTAGTTGCTTCCTGTGGAGGATTTGGTCACAGTGACTTTCCAATTTCCAGCACCCGAAAAAAAAAAAAAAAAAAGGCGTGTAAAGCGCGAATGTGTTTCATTAGACAACGGAGCAAAGCCGACGGAGTGCCGGGTGCCCGCAGAAAGAACGGAAATGGGCATCTAAGAACAAACCTGTCCCGAGGAGGAATGCCACCGCTTTACTGGCCTAGATAATGGACAACTAGAACTAAAAGCATTGAAGTCGCAACTAAGGACAAAGTGTAATTGTTCTCTCCGAACAAAAAGTTTAACCGTAGAAGCAGAAAACACCTAGAAAAAGACAATGGAGTGCTTAATTCTGGGACTGCCTAACCCTATTGTAAGCGAGCCATTTTGGCCGCAGAAGTTCAGAGCTACTGATCAGGCAAGCTAGGACATTAATCATAAATGCGGAGCCAGAAGTGATAGGATGTCTGGGATTTATATCAAATAATAAAAGAAGAAAGTGTGAGGATGTAGAGGAAGGAAGACAGACAGCTCAAAAGTCAATAGCTCTTGCGTTGGTCGTGTTGCTCAGTGGGCGGGGCGCTTGCACAAAGACCCGTGTCCCCCGTTCCTACCTAAGCAGAGACCCAGGCGTGGTGTTACATGCCTGTAACCCCTGTACTCTGCAGGTTCAGACAGGAGGACTGTCAAAGCCAGTGTCTGTCTGGGTTACACAGTGAATTCCCACTCGGTCCTGAGTGAGAAAAGAAAACTATCCATAATAAAAAGTTTGAAAGCACACAAAACCAGGCTGGGTACGACAAAATCATTGTATCTGAGATCACTCCTCTATCTTCAGGGTTCCCTAAAAATAAGATGGGTGGTTGGCTTTAGAAATGGTTCGGTGGTTCCGAGCACGGGCTGAACTCCTAGCGGCGGGAAGATCGCCAACTGACAGAGCGATAACCGAGCTCCAGAGGATCCAAAGTCCTGCTCTGGCCTCTGAGGGCACCAGGCGCACATGTGATACATAGACATATAGGCATGACACCCATACACATAGAAAATAACTTTTTTTTTTTGTTTTTTTTTGTTTTTCGAGACAAAAAAAGCTGGGCGGTGGTGGCGCACGCCTTTAATTCCAGCACTCGGGAGGCAGAGGCAGGCGGATCTCTGTGAGTTCGAGACCAGCCTGGTCTACAGAGCTAGTTCCAGGACAGGCTCCAAAGCCACAGAGAAACCCTGTTTCGAAAAAACCAAAAAAAAAAAAAAAGTCTTTAATAATAATAAAAAAAAAGGTTTTGGACTGGAGAGATGGTTCAGTGAATCGCTGGCTAAGATGTACCGTTCTTGCAGAGGTTCCAAGTTCAGTTCCCAGCATGCATCTTGGGAGGCTCCTGAGTGCTGTCTCCAAGGACAGCTTCACTTTTGTGCGTGTACCCACATATAAGCACATAGTTAAAAAAATGTAGCTTACTTTATAAAGAAAAAAGAAAGGAAAGAATTTCTTGTCTTTAAGAATAGTACCCATGCCTCAGCTCCTCAGATCGCCGGGGCTGAGCTGCGCGTTTCCGAAAGAGAGCAGCGGCGCTCGGGAAGATGGTGGCGAGCAGATAAAAAAGATTTGCTCCTACCTGGACCTCACTGATTGGGCTGCCAGTTGCAGATCTGTGTTCAAGTTGAGTGGACTAGGTGAAAGCTCCTTGGATCCGCTGGCCACTGAGTCTCAGAAACGCCATTGCCATGCGATGCTGCAGGGCAGGGTCTGGCGTACGGTAGTGAAAAGTGGAGACAGGAGGAGGAAAGCAAATACAAGAACTGGCTGAGCTGATACCTGCAAATCTTAGCAGTACTGACAATTTCAACGCCAAACCAGATAAACACGCTATTTTAAAGGAAACAGTGAGACAGGTACATCAAGGAAAAACTGTTTCCAGCGATGGTGATGTTCAGACAGTTGACGTGTCTTCTACAGGACAGGCAGTCACTCGTAAAGAATCTTTAGGGCCGCTATTACTACAGGCATTGGACAGTTTTCGTTTGGGTGGATCGAGGGGGCAGCATCGTATTTGCGTCAGAAAATATCACGCAGTATCTGCAGTACAAGCAGGAGGACCTAGTTAACACAAGTGTCTACAGCATCTTACCTGGGGAAGGGGGGAAAGGACTTCCTTTAACACTTACCCAAATCGACAGTTAATGGAGTGAGTTTCTTTGACTAACGAGGTCCAGAGACAAAAAGCCATCCTTGTGTACTGATGAAAACACGATATTTTGGAAGACATGAATGTCAGTCCTGAAGCTCCCAGGGATATGAAACACCGCAGTTCTTAGCCCGCCCTGTCTCAGCTTCGAGCTCCTTTGGAAGCAGGGCAAGACTTGCAGTGCTGTGTAATCTGCGTGGCACACCGGGTAACTACAGGGGAAAGGGCCTTCCTGCCAAGTCTGGGAGCCTTGGTACTGGCATGACCTTTCAGGAAAGATTGTCGATATAGATACAAACTCACTCAGATCTGCCACGAGGCCTGGCGTTGACGATATCATCGAAAAGTGTATCCAGAGATTCTTCTGTCAGAACGACGGGCATTCATGGTCCCAGAAGCATCACTATTCCAGTCCATGCTGAAACCCCATCGCTTCTCATTGGCGGATGGAGCTCTCGTGAGGGCGGAGACAAAAGCGATCTTTCCCGAAATCCTGGAACGAATGATCGAATGATCGTCATGGCTTCCTCTCCACCCACTTTCTTCAGAGGTGATGTCACTAACGGTACCCACACACTCAGGACGCTTTGCTGTTGATATGCAAAGCGAGAAAAGGCAGGAAAGTTGTTGAATTCCATGAAGTGAATTTAGAGTCTTAAGAAATGTTTTCTTTAAGGTTATATTTTTTTTTCTAAAAGTTAGTATTTTCCACTAAATTATTGCTTCTTGGATAAGGCCAGGGTGTGTGGTGTGTGGAAGAGGAGGGCTAGGGTGGTGGTGTGTTGGGGGAATAGTGGATACCTTGTTACCTTTTATTCTAGTGGCATAGTTACATTGCTTCTAGGAACTGAATTGAGAATAAAAATAAAAAAGAATGGAACATATGTATTTTATGTACTCTTTGTGTTAGAGGGCTTTCAAAATGAAAACTAAAATGAACTATGCCAATCCTTGTACATCAAATATAGTAAATAATATGGAACAGATGTCAGAGTTTTAAAATCCAGTTTATTGAGGTTGGAGTGTAGCCCAGTGGTCAGTGTTTGCCTAGCACGGGGAAGTCCCGGGTTCAACATTTATCCATGTAGCTTGGAAGGGACCAAGCATTCCTGTCTTTCAAGAAAATACGAAGGGCTGGGATGGTGGTGGTGCATACCTTTAATCCCAGCACTCGGGAAACAGAGGCAGGCGGATCTCTGGGAGCCTGCCCTACAGAGCGAGTTCCAGGACAGCCAAGGCTACACAGAGAAAACCCTGTCTCGAAAAATCAAAAGAAAAAGAAAAATGAAGCCTTGGCTTCTGGAGAACACCTGCGCAGACAATCAGTCACCCCCATTTACAAGCACACGACTGGACTGGAATGCCTTCGATTAACTGCGGTCCCGTCTTTTGAGGAGTATGCTAACTGTACTAATTCATTCTCGATGAAAATGACCCAGCCCTGACTTCACACGTCATAATGCTTGGCCTATAAAAACAATCTGCAAGCCGGGCAGTGGTGGCGCACGCCTTTAATCCCAGCACTCGGGAGGCAGAGGCAGGCGGATATCTGTGAGTTCGAGACCAGCCTGGTCTACAGAGCTAGTTCCAGAACAAGCTCCAAAGTCACAGAGAAACCCTGTCTCGAAAAATCCAAAAAAAACAAACAGAAAAACAACAACAACAACAACAACAAAAAATAAAACAAAACAAAAAAGATCTGCATCAAGATAAACATGTTTAATTCTTCTCACATCTGGTCTCCTACTCCCAGGCTGTGACAGTATTTGTTCTTGTTTCGGGTAAGGGATGATGAATAATTTGTTTTCCGTGCCATTAGGGGTTCATACAGCTAATGATTAACCACCACTGGCTCTTGGAGAGGGAAGCTGACTGGAGAGCCTTAAACACATCAGAGTCCCATCTCAGATGTCGCTCAAGAGGTTGTACAAATCTAACAAACTAGAACCAGACACACATGTCTAATAGCTAGAGACTGGTGCATATCATGCAACCCATGGACAGATTGCTACTCAGCCGTTACAGTGACAAGATGGTTTGTCATAGGCCCCACTCCAACCTTCAATCTCATGTCACCCCCAGAGGTAGCCAGCCTTAATGTTTTCTCGACATTCATCCCATAATATGCAGCCATTCAAAAATTTTTATGCAAAACGACTGCACTGTTTTTACCAGGTATATATGTGTGTTTGTGTGTATGTGTGTGTACAGACAGTTATGGGCCATATGGTGAATCACACATATAACGGCAGTTTTATAAGACTGAATAGACTTGCCAGATGTGGTGGTACACACCTTTAATCCCAGCACCTGAAAAGACAGAGGTGGATAGCCTGGCCTATATTAATGAGTTCTAGACCATCCAGGGGTACACAGGGAGATCTGTTCTTTTTTTTTTTTTTAAAGATTTATTTATTTTGTTTACAGTGTTCTGTCTGCATGTATGCCTGCAGGCCAGAAAAGGGCACCAGATTTCGTTATAGGTGGTTGTGAGCCACCATGTGGTTGCTGGGAATTGAACTCAGGACCTCTGGAAGAACAATCAGTGCTCTTAACCTCTGAGCCATTTCTCCAGCTCCCGGGAGATCTGTTCTTATGCAAAATAAAATAAAATAAAAAACAAAAACAAAAGTGGCCTAGTGACATCATATCCATTTTGGATAAGAACACTGCACGATGCCTGCATAATAAAATTACCTGACAGCCTGTTTCAGAATGTATTAGCATTGTTAATTGATGAGTCAGGCTGATTTCCTTTATCCTGTAATAATATATTGACAGCATATTATGTCCTTTCCTGTGTTTTTTAGTCATTTGGATTCATTTCGTTAATTATTTTTGTAAACTTCTAATCTGTAGATTCATTTGTCAAACTTTGGAAATATTTGTGTGTGTGTGTGTGTGTGTACATACATGTGCCCGACAGCCTGAGGTGGCAGAAGAGGGCATCAGATTCCATGGTGGTTTTGAGCCGTCTGATAAAGGTGCTAAGAATTGAACCAGGTCCTCCTCGAGGTAAGAGCAGTCACCCACCCAGGCATCTCTCCGGCCATGGTCTCATTTAACACCAGGTTGTTCTTACACCTGCATGACCTCTTCTTGAACTAAGTCTGTGTCTCACGTGTGCTCTTATTTACTCTGGCTTCCTTGCGTTTGAGAAAATGAGCAAACCAAACTGCTTTCTGACAACAAGCCCATGCTGTCTTGACCTCAAGTGTGAACCACCTCAGCCTCCTGAGTGCTGGGATTAGGAGATGATGTGTATGCCTGGCCCTGCTTTTAAAAACATTCTGGATTTTTCCTTCTACCCAACATACTTTCATTTTATGAAGTGAAATGCGTATAAAGATGATGGAGGAAGGTCATTGGCTAATAAAGGAACTTCCTTGGCCCATTTTATTGGTTGGAAGATAGGTGGGAGGAGTAGGCAGAACAGGACGCTGGGAGGAAGAGGAAGTGACCTCAGTCTCGACAGCTCTCCTCTAGGGAGTGGACGCCTGAGAGAGATGCCATGCTCCTGGCTCCTGGGCAGATGCATGCTATGAAGCTCCGACCCAGGATGGACATAGGCTAGAATCTTCCCGGTAAGCGCACCTAGGGGCGCAACACAGATGATTAGAAATGGGCTAAATTAATATGTGAGAATTAGCCTAGAAGAGGTTAGATAGAAATGGGCCAAGCAGTGATTTAAATGAATACAGTTTGTGTGTTGTTATTTCGGGGCATAAGCTAGCCGAGCAGGCAGCCGGGGTGCTGGGGATGCAGCCCCACCGCCCCCCATATTACTACATAAAGATGTGTGTCTTGTGCTGCTGAATGGCTCAGTAGTAGATCAAGAGCTCACCGGTGAGCTGGTGGCCCGAGTTCCATCTCTGGGACTCATGAAAAAGTGGGAAAGGGGAGCAAGTCCACAAGGCTGTCCTGTCACACACGTCCCTCCCATAGTCTTCACCCACATGATAGAAATACAGATTTATATCTCTATAACTCTGGGTTCTGATTTGGAAGGCTTTCCTTACTCCAGCATCATACATTTCTCATAAAGAGCGAGGCATAACCTCTTTCTAGGGCACAATCCACCTCTCTTGCAGCACCTTTAGAGCACACTGCTGTGCATTTTAAAAAAAAATCTCTTTTCAGGGATTGGGAGAGGGGATAGCCCTGGCTGTCCTGAAACTTGCTATGTAGACCAGGCTGACCTCGAACTCAGATATCCACCTGCTTCTGCCTCTCAGGTCCTGGGACTAAAGGTACGTTCCACCACTGCCCAGTTCCAGCTTTATTTTAACTAACACCCCCTCTACTGATTTCCCTGAGCTGTAGCACTGGTTGCCGATTAAAACACTAAACAGAAAAACAGTTGCCTGGGTTTCATCCAGGATCTACAGATCCAGTTCCATGCCAGCCTTTGCTCATTCGCCAACTCCTAAAGATACCATAGAAAAATTTGGCAAAAGGGGCCAGCAAAATGCCTCATTTGGTTAAAGCAGTTGCTATGCAAGCCTGATCTACCTCATATGGTGGGAGAACCAACTCCTAAGATAACTCCCCTGACTTCTGCATGATATAACATGTAGCAGGTGCATATTTTTTAAAAGAACTGTATTAAAGAGTCACAGCATTAGAAAGGTTGAGAACCAATGACTTAGGAGAAAGAGGCAGGCAGTGATTTCTGTGAGTTCAATGCCAGCCCAGTCTACACAATGAAACCATTGCAACAAATAATAAAAAGGTTTTTTATATCTGAGTTTGAATAGTTCTACATTGTTTGAATTTTGTTCTCTTTTCTTTGTTTGTTTATTATTTTACTTCATTTTGTTTTTGTTTTTACAAGACAGACTTTCTCTGTGTAATAGCCATGACTGTCCTGAAACTTGCTTTGTAGACCAGGCTGGCCTCAAACTCACACAGCTCCACCTGCCTCTGCCTCCTGAGTTCTGGGATTAAATACGTGCACCACCACCACCACCAGGCTTGCTTATTTTAAATAGCTGGTGTTAGGGGCTGAAGAGATGACTCAGTAGTTTAGAACATCTGTTGCTCTTGCAGAGGTCTGGGGTCCAGTTCCCAGCACCCATAACTCTATTTCCTGGGGGATCAAACACCCTTTTCTGACCTCTTATGGGCACCAGATATACACATCATGCACATATATGTAATCAGGAAAACACTCATAAAATAAATAAATCTAAACAACAAACCAAAAAAAGAAAAAAACCAACACTGTGGTAGAGTACTTCCTAAGCATGTATGAAGCCAGGAGTTCCATTACCAGAATGTTAAAGAATAAAAGGAAGAGAGAAGGGACTGTGGAGATGGCTCAGTGGCTAAAAATATTCGCTATGCAAACATGAAGACTTGAGTTCGAATCCTCCCACCTACATAAAAGCAAGGTATAGTTGCAGGACCCTGAGTTGGGTTGATCCAGAGAGCAGACTGCAGAAACCTCAGGCTTTCGCTTCCCAATGTGACACCCGTGTACCCCCACCCCACATATACACAAACGGAAGAGTGAACAGAAACCATGCAAAAAAACAGGTGGGGTGAAAATCTAGTAACTTTCAGCATTGAGATCTTGGGTGTCTCTGATCTTAGGTCAAATTCCGACCTGCCAGAAAGACAGGAATTCCTTGAGAGCCAGGCAACATATGCCCAATACCTTGTTTTATGTCTTTTAGCTATGCTATAATTGGATATGTTGTTCAAGTTATCTTGATTTTAAGAAAAATATAATTTATACAATAATTTGGATATTAATGGGAACATTTAAATGTCTCAGAAATTATGAAGCACAACGAAGATACAGGATGTTGAAAGTCACCAGGATACAGGAGGCAGAGGTACGCCTGGTCTACAGAGTGAGTTCTAGGATAGCCAGGGCTACACGTAAAAACCCTGCCTCACCCCCACCCCCCCAAAAAAAACAGCTGTTGAAAATAAAGTAGATAAAGACTGGGCTCAATGAGTTGGTTCTTTGTTCTGTCCCCTGGAGACCAAAGGCCATCATCAGAGGAAAACCAAGATCTCATCCCAAAGGCAGTAAGAGATAGTTTATTCTGAGCCAAACGTGAAAGTGATTGTGGCCTGGGAAACAGAGACACGTTCCACCACGGAAGTTATCACGTAAACTGTTAATCACATCCATTGGTGAAGCAAGTCAGAGCAGGACAGGGAAAGTCTCGGATGCCACAGAGTCGGTGGAAGCTGCCGGTCGGTTAAGTGATTATCTTCTAAGGGTTTTAACTGATAGCCCAAAGAGGCAGGTTAGATGCAGAGTAGGCCATGAATGACTGTGGCTGGGACTTGAGAGAGATCAGGTCAATTTGGCTCTGCATATGTATCCCAGCTCTCCCCAACCAAACATTCTCTAATCTGGCAACCAGTCCACAGGAACCACACTGTGTTGCTTTTTCAGGGAACTTCAGTCCAAATCACCCAGGTAAATAAAAGTGACTTCCACTGTGGAATAAGAATGAGTGGTGTGTGTGTGTGTGGACTTCCTAGAAAGTGCTCAAAAGCAAAAGCAGCCCTGACAGCTGCCTGCACCTGAAGAAGAGAATTACCTGATAATGTTGATAAACTCACAAGATGGCTGGCCCTTGAAAAGACAATGACTAGCGTGCTCCCCCCCACCCTCCCCCACCCCCGCCCAGATCTGAGATGTGACGAGATGATTGCAGGTCCCCTGTGCAGTGTTTGGAGCCCAACCTACATATTTTATAAATATCAGCCCTTGCTGGGCTCCAAGCAAGAGATCCGATGACCACGTGAGTCAGCCGTCCCCAACCCCGGGCCAGCACCTGATGGCAATCACACCCAAGCAATTGTCCAGATGAACAACTCCATCATTTGACAGGCCTGGTACCAATAATAACAAACTTGTTGCTACCGGCCTCTTCTCTCGGCTTTCCCAAGTTTGTGCCATTTGAATCTCTGCCTGCTCAGGGTCTGCAGACCGGGAAAATTATCTTTTAATAACTCTGCTTGGCTTAAGGCACCAAACGGGACTGCGTGAACGGCAAAGAAGATGAATAAATAACAAATAGTGGTGGAAAACGTCTGTCGCTAGGCTGTGAGAGCACAAGGCCACCGCTCGGTTGTACTTAAGCAATTCGATGAAAAGGCATTTTTAAAAATCCATTAAATAACACGTGGCAGCAACTACTAACCCAAAGTCAATTGAATCAGTGACGCGGAAGAGGCCCCGAGACTTTCAGAGTGACACGGCCAGAACTGAAGCTCGTCTTTCTGCCGTGCAGACAGCGGATAAAAAACAACAAAAAAAAAACATTACTGGTGTTACAAGCTCGAGCTGGGGGGTGGGGTGAGGGTGGGGGTGTCGTTTCCCTTTTCTGTAGCTGTGCAGAGCGGATGCACACTGTCCTGCAGGAATGCGAAGCTCCTAACGAGCTCCGCTCCGGCCGCAGCGGTGGAAGTGGTGGGGGAGGGGCACCATAAGGCTCCAGCTGATCTCAGAATCCGGCCAGCGCGTTCCCCGCTTCCTAACGGCCTCGAAATGATTTACACGAGCAGAAGGTGTGCCTTGGCGGGGTCCAGCTGGCCTTCGCGTCACGGTGAGTTTTATTCTGCGTTTTTTTTTCCCCTTCCGTGCTCGTTTGAAAGAGGCTTCTACTTCTCTCCACCCCTCCCGCTTAGCCCTGTAAAGTTTGTTTTCAAACCGTTAAACCCGGTTTCCATTTCGGCTGCCTACGGATCGCATTCGTGAGCCAGGCTGACTTGGAGAAAAGAAAAGCTACCTTTGTGTACATAATGAGAGCCACCGCGTGGGCGCGGGTAACCGCCGGGAAGGAACGTTTCGGCCTCGCGCTGCCGCGGCTGGGTTTAGCCGACCCGAGGCGGGTCCCGTGGAGTGGCCCCGAAGCCACTGTCCCAAGTTAGCAAACAAAGCAACTAGGCAGTCCCAGCCGGGCCCGAACCGGACTCCTGCCACTCACGCGGTCCAGCTCCTCCTCCTCGCGTCTTTCTTCCCTCCTCTCCAGAGTCCCCAGCGGATGTGAGCCACCAATCCCAGCCACAAACAACCCTTCAAAACCAGACCAGACAGAGGCGGCCCTCCAAACGGGCGGCCCCCTCCCCGCATCACATCAGTCCCGCACCCGGGCGCAGCAGCTGAGTCATCGCTGGCCAGGTCCCGGAAAGCTCTGCGACCCGGGCAGTTTGCAGAGGGGGCTGCCAGCCGGTGGGTTCCCTCTGTCTCCCCGGACACGGTCCTACCACCGCCTTCTGCTTTAATTTCCGCGCGTGCACTCTGCAAACCACCGGGGAGCGCGCGGGGTGCGGTGGGGGTAGGGTAGCTTTAAGGTTCCTGCCTCTCAGTGACGCTTCCCGCAGTTGGTTCATTTTGGAAAAAGTATACCAAGCTTCCTTAACTCTGGGTTTTAACGCACTCCCCTGAGGGGTTGTCTTTGGGAAGGGGGCGCGGCGTAGGCACGCGTTAATTTCCAACGTAATCGTAAACAGACTCCAAAGTCTAGCGGGTCATTCTGTGGCCGCCTTAGTGTGACTCGGCTTTAACCTTGTTTTCTCCGGGACGTCTCCTCCCGCCGGATCTCCACCGAGGTCACAAAACCAGAACAGCCACAGAGTCGAAACTGGAGACAGACACTGGCGCTGACGTCGCTGCTCGGCTTATTTACGTTTGGGGTTTTTCTTTTCTTTTCTTTTTTAAGTAATGGGGAAAGTCTTCTGTGACATGTGACAGTTGGTTTGCTGCCTTTTTTTTTTTTTTTTAACTAATGGGCATAGGTGAAAACTATACCCAGAAGTGCGGACATGCGCATCTTGAAATCAGCCAAAACAGCATCTGGGTTGTATTTGGGGCGGGGGTGGAGGGGATTCATAGTTGAACTCCTATTGGAGCTCCCCTCTCAAGCAAAATAAACCAATAGGAACGAGTGTGTACTTAATGGCTAATTTCTGTTTGAAATACTGAAGGGTGAAGGGGGTATCCTCTGGTAGGGATTGTAGCCCACAAAGTTAGACACTGTTTACCGAACCGGACGAGCAGCCCCGGCGTGGTCAACCCTTTTCTACAAAGGTGGGCGGCGGGGGGGGGGGATTGTAGCGGGGCACACATGCGCCCCAGTCATCCCCAAGCCCAGACGTTTAAAGACCATGTGAGCATGACAAGTGTCTATCCCCAACGTGTTAGATTTCGAAACTGTCTTGCAATCCAATCCGGAACTCAGAGCCTGGGGGAACAGACGTTCACCTAGGGTGCTTAAGTTTGTGTCTCATCTCCCCCCCCCCCCCCGCGCCCTTCACCTCCACACACACCTCCCACTGTCAAGAAGAGTCCACGAGGAGAAGGGTGCGCCGCGCCCGCGTGTCAATGGCAGCTGCGCCTACTGGAAGAAGTTGGTTCTTGTCCGGAATACTTTTCCTCCGGTGCCCCACCCCTTGAATCAGCAGCCGCTGCCTCTTGCGGCTGGAGCAGGGACAAGTGGAGTTTGGGGCAGCTGTCAAAAACAAGGGTGGGGGTGTCCTTTCTTCTCTGGGATGGACCGGAGTGAAGGAGGAGGTGTCTTTAACTCTCTCCCCATCTGTTGCAAACTAAAAGCACTTTTCGCCCCGGGAGGAAAGGCCCCGGAGGAGAAACCGGTGTGGCCGCTGAGGTCTGAGGGATGTGGACGGCGTTAGCGCTTCAGGCAGGCAGGCATGACCCTGTTTCTGGGCTCTGCCACCCCAGAGAGGGACCAGTGACCGCGGCCCCCCGGATCAGGGCTGTTGAGCTGGAAGGTGCGGGGGAGGGGCAGAGGAGCGGCTGGGCGGGCGGGGGACTGGGCGGGCTGCTGGGGGCGGAGGCAGGACCTCCTGTACCTTCCCTCTGCTCTCTCACTCTGACAGCGCCGAGGTGCGCGGAGTGGAGCGGGAAACAAAGGAGTTGAGTAGGGAGGGGAGTGAGTTGAGCCAGAGAGAGCCCCCGGCTGGCTGCCAGAAGATCCTGGCTGGAGGAAGCCCAAGTGTCACTTGAATTCCAACCCAGGAGTCAGCGCCTGGGACCCAAGCACCTTGTGTAGCAATAGTGGCTGGAATACTCTTCTGTAAGTTACCGGAGCGCCAGTAAAGGAGGATCATCGCCCGCCCCCCGCCACTCCGACTGCTGGCCCCTAGAAACCCCAGCTTAACCTCTCGCTGGGACGGGGAGTTCCAGAATGAAAAGCAAAAAGGGTAAGGTTGCGGCGGGCTGTGAGCACCCGGGGCTTCAGTGCGGGACATGTGCGGGTCGTGCTGGATCGGGGGACACTGTCTTGGTGGACTTTTCCGCCCAGTGGCACCCGGGCCGGAGAAGTGGCCGATCTCTTTGTTGAGGCTGTGTCTCGAATGGCAGTTGCTGTTCTTTTCCTTCTAGACACAACACGAGGGGCTGTTGTGGGGAACAGCCTCACCACGCTGCTGGCACGTTGTCAAGAAACACGCTCGGCGCCTTGTTTGTGCGCCTCCAAGTTTCATTGTCTTCACTGACACCCCATGCTCGATCCAGCCGCCGCGTGGTCTCTAGTGCTGTTTTCTGGGACGGGGTGTGGGTTGGGTGTTTAAGGGGCCCCTCACACCTCGCTTTTCTAGCCACCTTACCTTTTGTCTAAAAGTTCGGTTCCGGGTGCTCTCACTCCCCCAGACCACGGTACTGTTTTTTAGGGATGTGGTTGGTTTTTATTTTTATTTTTTCACTATCAAAAGAATGTGATCCAGGACCGACACATCATTCTAGGGCGAGGGAAAGCAGGACTTTTAAGATTACTAGCTTCTAAAAGTTTTCCCACGATGAATTTAGCACAGCGTGAGCCTGTTAGAACACTAGGACCATGCAGTCAAGATGTGTTCAAGTGTGACAAGCAGGCTTGGTTGTAAGTGCAGAGAGCGAAACTGTCATTGTTTCCACCAAGCTTTACAACTAAAACTTGCCGTCAGTCTGGTTTAAAAACAAAACACACAGGGGAGAGGGAAAAAAAACCCGAAAGGTCAAAAGCCTGTGAAGTCCCTTTTGAAGCTAACTTTGGAATCCCTGACTGGGAGGTCCCTCGAGTGTTCAGTCGTGGACTAGAGTTGGCTTTTCTGTTGTGATTTATGTGGGGTGGTTCAAAACAGAAGTTAATCGCTTGGGGAAGCTGGCGGGGGGGGGGGGGGGGGGGGCGCTGCTGCGCATGCCCAAGAGCTTCCTCGAGTTTGTTACTCCGCATTCTTTCAGACCCAGACCGCCACTGCAGTTCCAACGACTGCAGTTCCAACGGAACACGGTTACGGAACACAGTTACGGTGGCCACCTCCCGTACACAGACACCCCGGGGTTCCTCCCCGCTCTCTCCCTTATAGAGTGTGCTGATGTAGTTCCGTAGGAGACCCTGAAACATACGGAACTCATGAAGACCCTGGGTACTTGGTTAAGTAGGCCGCCTTGCCCATCTCCATCCCGGTATAGCGAGAGCTTGGGCGCTTAGAGTTGAAAGAGTTTAGCTGAGCTTTGGGGAAGGCTTCGGGATCCTCTGCAGAGTCGTGTCACTCTGACGAGACTGACAGATGTAGACCTGGTGGGAGGTGTTCTGTTCCAGTAGCATCTACATGAGGTGTTTTGGTTTTGAGTGGTTCTCAGTGCGGTGCGGAATGCGAAGCCGGAATTCCGTGGGTGGGGAGGGGGACCGGCTACTAGCCTCCTCCTTCTTGGGTGTCCCCTTCCTTAGATGCAAGGTCTGGGGAAAACATCAGAGGTCCCCAGCCCAGAGCGCGTGGGTCCCGCAAGTCAATCCCCAACTCGTGGAAACAATGAGCGGTGACGTGTTGGAGGGGAAACTTTGCGGCAGCCGCTTCAGAGCTTATGGTGGGGAGGTTGCTAGGGCTCCTTTCCCTTTTTAGGTTTCCCCAGTACATGGTCTGAATGGGGGCAGAACCCTGAGGCAGTGAGCCCCATTGTTCCAGCTTGGTTGCTAACTTGTACAGTAGGGGTTGAAGAACTCCAAAGAACAAAAGCTGCTTGCTCTCCTCCGGCTCCTCCCTCTACCGCGAGCCTCTCAGCCCTGCCTTCCCCTACCTGGGAGGGGAGGGCAAGCTTTCCCTGTCCTTGGGCGAGGATTGCTTAAACCTGTCCGCCTATTGTGTGTCTTAGGAAAGTCTGAACATCTTTCAACTTCAGAACAAAGACTGATCTGATAATAAAGTGCCTTCGTAGAAAGCCGAGACAACCCGAAAGAGCTCCCAAAATGGCTTCGGAACTGGCTGGGAGAAGGCTCGACTAGGAAACCCCCAAGTGTCCTCACGGGGTCTCCAAGCCCCGTAGTGAAGTTCCATCCGAGTTACTTGTCCAGAGGGGAGACTTTTTAAGTTTATCCTTAAACTTTTCCTTTGATCTTTCCTCAGATTCTTTTTCTAGTCTCCATTAGATCTTTAAAACCCAAGCTCTCCCACCCCCCAACCTTGTTTCAGAGGTTCAGAAAAAGAAAGTGAAGAAGCAAGATTTGCTTCTTAGCGCCATGGGATCCACAGGCCATCTTGTGGCTTTCTGAACAACATTTCCTTGTATGTGGGTAGAGTAAGAGGCTTGTGATTCTGTCCCACACCCACCTCTCTCCCTCCCCAACCGCATTTTTTTTTCTTTTTTTTTCAAAAAGTGTAAGCAAAGCGAGACTATTGGAAACAAGTCCTGACCGGGAAACTTTTCAAAAGCTCTGTTACAGTAGGAAATGAGTAACGAGGAAAAAAGCCTGTGTTTTTCCAAGTCGAGCCACAATCGGGAGCGAGTTTTAATGAAAACAGCTCTGACAGTAGCAAACGTGGTCTAGCAACGCTGAACACATCAGCTGGCCCGCCCAAGGCACCAAGTCTTAACTTCCTGTTTCTTCAGCCTTTGTGCATGCTTTGGAAATGTTTGTAAAGAAGACTTGATTTTCTTTCTTTCTTTCTTTCTTTCTTTCTTTCTTTCTTTCTTCCTTTCTTTCTTTCTCTCTCTCTCTCTCTCTCTCTGTCTCTCTCTCTCTTTCTTTCCTTCTCCTCCCTCCCCCTCCTTTTCCCCTCCTTCCTTCCTACCTTTTTTTTTCTTTCTCAAATGAACAGGGGCGGCAGTTTGGTGTTGCTTAACTGAAACCTGCTTTGTGTCCTTAGACTTCTTCTGAAAGATCATGCATGCTTTTTGTCAAACTCGAGTGATCAGA